ACGAGTTCTAGATCAGAAGCAAGTTCATACTTGTCCAGATGACATGTTAAACGTGAAATACAATCGATTGCATACTGACTGGGATTATGATACATGAAATACAGTGATTCATTTGAAATATTTAATTAAATGCTTTGGGAATTCTTCAAAATTGCAAGAACTTTGTGTTATTTTAGCTTTTAGATTTGAATGGATAATGTTATACATTTGGTCTAAATTCATCACTTCCTAATTAGTTACTAGAAAGCACGATGTTTTAATGCAAATGTTATATATATGTAAAATAAATAATTGTTGAATTTATGAAATGTGTAGTAGTACTTTATACTTCAACCTAGTTATCTGATTAGAAGTGCATGAACAAAAATTAAGTTGAATGAAAATAAAATGACCAATGAAATTCGAGTATTCAAGTTTTTAAAGAAACCTTAAACGTGATTGGTTGTCACTTCTCAATATCATGCGCGGTTCTTTTGAATGGAAATTGCAAGTGGAAAGTGAAAAATATCGATTGGTTACCTTAACTTTCTAATACTATGAAAAATATGTTGCAAATAAATTATGAATCGCACTTATTATTACTCTTGTCTATACGTAATTCCCGAGATTCTTTTCTTTCGTTGATGTAACAGCAAGGGAGAAATTTGTTTACATTTAGTAACCTTACTAATATTTACAATCGATTTTCAATCCGATGCATCACTTATTAGAACAACTTTATTTATGGATATGTTTGTTTCGTTTCTTCATTTGAACATTTTCCAAAGAAGGGAACAAGACAAACACAACAGCAAACATCAAATTTATTCGAAGCCTAGGGTTTTTCCCATCTCCGAGGGAGATTGTTCTGTACTAGTTGGTAACACTGCTTATATACAGAACAGCTGAGAAACAGCATAAAGTGTAGGTCAGTGCAGGTCAGTGCAGGTCAGTGTAGGTAAATAGCAGTCAAGTTGTGTTTAATTTTACATTGTGATACTCAAGTGACAAAACAATTAAATTTACAACTTTATTAGATAACTGTACATATAATACAGTGGTGTAAAAAAATAGAAAATCATAAAATTTTTTTAACTTACTATTACTTTGTATAAGATCAAAATTTAGGTAACGGTGTAAAGGTTATGTTACCACGCGATTTTATGAAAACAAGGGAACGCTTGAAGAATCCCACGAAATCTGAAATACATCAATTGTTTATTCATTATAATGAGACCTGGGACGATGTTTGATAGGCGTGAAATTGGAAAACGAATACGTCGATTAATCGATGGAAATTATTCGTATCGTAAGATTCTTATATTAATTATTATTTGTGGTGGTATACTTCTTTACTTCGGCCCACCTGTTGCGCATTGGCTTTTTTCTTCTACTGGAGAACCAGTACAAGGTAAGATTTTAAATTCTATACAAATTTAGTTGTTTCTTTTTCTTTGTGTTTGGAGAAATTGTTCTAAAGTTATGTTTTAAATCATTTGACGTTAAACTAGATGAAATTCTCCGTACCATGAACTAGGATTTTATAAAAATATTTAAAATTAACGAAATGTCAATGGTTTGAAAAAAAATTCCATTTTTGCAAATAAAAAAAAACGCTCGTTTTTTGCTGGGGGAAATATCAAAAATATCCTAGTTCATGGTATGTAAAAACATGTTATGAATATTCTTACAAAATTTCAAATCAATATCTTACAATGTTAGTCTTAATGATACATTTGAAATTGTATATGTTTTTATAGCATTTGAAGATTATTGCATCAAGGAAAGGCTGGCTCCATTTCGTTTGGATGCTGACGAATACAATGTAAACATCCTTCATAATCCACCAAAGGAAAAGGAACATCACTATTTGCCATACATTGGTAATGGCATTTTTGGGATTCCTATTTTACCAGAAGCTTGGATATACATAAAACAAGGACGAGCATTATCATTGCCAGTACAGTGGCAACCATTAATTTCACACCCTCTACCCAAAAGTAATTCCCATCAGGAAGCTACAGTTACAGATTTTACTAATGGGATTGTTTATCACTATCAGTGTCTCAGAGACAGATATTACACAGAGTTTACATATTATGCTCATAGAGTACTTGATGCGATTCTGGTGCAAGATATAAAAATAGTTAATCCCTTTTCATTCTCGCAAAATGTACCACTGAAACCTCAGATGTCTACGCATTGGAGCAATTCCCACACAGAACTGATCAAGTAATTAAAACAATTATTAAGTAGTGTAGTATGCTTTCAATTTATTAATGCCCTCACCCCCTCTAATTTTTCTCTTTCAATTCGTATTCCCAACATTTCGTTAACAGATCCTACATCTTTGATTTTAAATCATTCAGTTTATTCTAATTTAACTCTATGCAATATTTCTAACGATTTTGACGCTAAGAGCAAATCATCGAAATATGCGATAATTATAATGACATAATTGTACATGTTACCAGTGTATACACACGGTTCCACTTACGATGCGTAATGACCGATTTTTTCAAACTTTTCACTTAATTTGTTTTGCCATACACAATCAGATTGCTTTAAACTGTATATAGGTGGTCCCACCCATTTGATGTATATAATATCCTGTTTCTACACTTACTGCTGGATTATATCCGTGCAACACGAGCATACACATCTACATAATCTATAGTATAGATTCTATATCATATCTCTGCCCACATCCGCGACTAACCAACGAAGTCTTTTTATATGGAAAAAGCTATATATTACTGTGTAATGTTAATATTGTAAATTTTAAGAATATATGTTGGTATGTTTAGACTTACAGTAGATGATTTTATACATGAATACAACTTAATTAGTGGGTTTGTCCCACTGTCCAACTCAAATAAGGTGGTAACTGTTTCAATACTTTACAAAGTTCCATTGAGAGTAATACAAGTTAAAGCAAGAAGTACTGTAAAATTAAAATTCATGACTAGTATACAGTACAGTGAACCTATTGCTATGGAAGATCACCATATTCATTCTGAAATCACAAAGAAAAAAGCTATAGAGGTACGTATAAATAACAAGTTTGAAATAGAATCGTACACGTACATATTTTAATCTGACGTAATTTGATCAGGCGATGAAGAAAGCAATCAGACTCTCGCAACGAAATTTGAAGAATGATCATATTAACCTTTGGCAAAGTTACTGGTATACGAGTCTTAGAATAAGTGATTCTAAAGCTGATGGTGCTATTAATGGGCATAAAATAAATTCCACGATATATTATGTGTTATCTCAAATTTCGAAAGGTATTCCAGATGTGGAGAAAAATGTAGCCATGAATGAAGGTTGTTATCGTGGACACTATACTTTGTAAGTAGCATATCGTTTTATAAATATTTGTTTATAGACTCGGTACGTTACCGTTCCGTCTGATGTACCCACACATTCACTTCGCTGGGCAATAGATTAAGCGTCGAAAATTAGCGACATTCTATTGTTTCAGAGATGCACCCCGTTTATGGAAAGATACATCGTCAGTTGCTGGTGTGAATAATGTAGTCGAAGCATGGTTAATAACACTAGAAAAACAAGGATGCCATCATTTAATAACTGGTGACCCTTCAGCGGTTCAACAAGCTATTGTCTTGAGCCTTGGCAGTTTGCGTTTCAGCAATCAACATCTTGAATTTAACATGGATCCGCAATATCTTCATCGAGATTATTTGTTTAGGTATTGTATCACTTTACCTTATATATTCTCATCAGAGAAAAAATATTGAATGAGATTCATGCTTGTATTTCTCTTTCTAGGAGAATCAGTTACGGCAATGTAACTCATCTGAATATATCAGTAACTGTTGGAGAAGATAATCGCGCAGTATTAGGAGTAGCTTTAGACAAAAGTGACAGTGTCTATTTCGGTTGTGATGCAGGTTGTTTGGACGCACCTGTTTCCTTAAGTCAGTCTTATACAAATTTTCCAGTAAAATTGACAAAGCCATTAACAGCTATATTATATATAACGTCTGATCATCAACATATGCAAGATCTGCGAAATGCGTTACATGTTCACGCAGTACACGATGGTAAATATAAAAATAAAATATTTTTTTAACCTTAAACATATAATCAAATATATATTATACTTTTTTTCCAGCTCCGGCACACGATCATCTTGTTATGGCTTTACACAAGCATGGGCATCAACTTGGTGGATTACCTACGCTTTTTTGGATTAGTATCTGTTTTCTTATAATTGTGTTTCATTTGTTTCTTTGTAAACTTATTATTAATGAATACTATGGTCATCAAGATAAACAGAAAATTAGGTATAGTAAATTGTAATTATATTTTGTAATAATTATACTGTCCAGATGCTCATATATAATCACACTCGTGTATAATAATTTAACTTTGTATTAATACGTGTTATGATATAAGAATTTATGAATATTATCTCTTATAGTGATATCGAATATAACATTGGAAAAGATATATTTATTCCTTCTACTTGTATAGTCTTCTATAGAGTATGAATCAACAACTCTGTAGCAAAATTGTTGCGACTTTTAATTCAAATTAAGTTGTGTATATTATTTCATATTTAGATAACAGAAATGCGTTACGCTGTACACTTTGTAAGATAATTTTTCGTAGTTATTTATGAAAGAGTATGTAAACCTGATAATTTTGAAACTACAAACCACAGAAGATTCCTGTACATATGACAATAAATATATTTGACAGTCTAGTCATAGATATAAAAAATTAATTGAATTGAATTTATTTAAAAGGTCATAGACTCTAAGTCGAGCCCATAGACCGAGTACATTATAAAAAAATTAGCTATTGAAAAAGTAAATCGTAAAGCCCTCTTAGGATAACCGTTTATTACCGACCGAACTGCCGTTTCTCGATTAAGATTACGTCAGCGGGTACAGCGTCCATGTTAGCTTAGTTCCGACGTCGTCCGATAGGTGTCCACGTACGTTTCCGTAATTCTCGGTTGCGTCGCGAGTGTGTCGCTCGCATGGCGCCACGAGCGAGCTTAGTCAGTCAGCCGCGAGACGCGGTGAACTGAAGGTGTGGTGAGTGTTTCTGTGGGCCGACGGGCCAAAAATGGCGGAGCGTACGAAGACGACAGCCCCGGCCACCCGGCCTGTTCCCATGAAGCTGTTCGCCACTTGGGAAGTGGATCGCACGGCTCCAAACTGCATACCCAGGTAATCGATAATCCGCGGCTCGATTCGCGTTCGTATCTTTGCTTTTCGTGCGACAATCGTGTCATTATCCCGTATCACAGTGAACAGCCAGGGACTCGGCGGGCATTCACACGCCCTTTTTTCCAAGATCACTCGCATTTTTCGATTCGCGCCCTTTACTCGAGACCGCCTGTCTTTACTCAACGTTTCGATCCGGTGTCGGATCAACGCGTGTCTCATTTCCGAGACGAGCGTCCTAGGTTATTCGTGCTGCGTGTCTGGTCTCGGGACTGCGTGGCGCGCTCTGGCCACCGTTGGATGCTAGCTGTCAATCGAACGTGACAGATCGCCAAATCGTAATCTCGATCTTTGTTTTCACGGTATTTTCATCCCACCCGGTATCGTTGTTTGATCGATGCCAATCCCCTCGGCGACTGTCTTCGATTCGGAATTGTTTATGTCGACGGTGTTTAACGAGATGAGTAAATAAGAGCGTCTGAGCCAAGTGCGAGGCAAAGAGAGAGTCAAGTTTTGCCCGGGTCCAACGACGCGATACTCGTTGTAGTATTTCGCGCTACGTTACATTGTCGTATGGTTCAGCGCGAATGAAACAAACGACATGTTAAACAAACATCGTTACCAAGGTCTGCTTGTGTGCATGCTCGTTAGGTTAGAACACGGGGGAATTTACGGTTCTGTCGAAAACTGGCATCCTCGAGTCGAGGATGTCTGCTTCTCCGGAAGCATCGGTTTTTATCTGACGGTTAACCCTTTCATAGTAACTGTATCGTTTTCGATAGAAACCTGTTCGAGACAATTTGTATCGTTGTAGGAATTACATTTAGCTTCCACTTAACTTATTTACAATTTATTTATACAGAGTGTCCCAAAAATGTTGTAACACATTGAAAGAGGTGGTTCGGGAGGTGATTTGAAACAACTTTGTCCTTAACGAAAATGTTGTATGAGGCTTCATTGAGTAGATATTAAGAGAAAACATTGACCAATCAGAGCGCGAGGATGCCGGTCGAGCGCTCGCGGTAGGCGTGGCTACGCGCTAGGCGGCCGCGCTCATACGCTGTCGCGAGCGCTCCACCGGCATCCTCGCGCTCCGATTGGTCAATGTTTTCTCTTCTATATCTCCTTAACGAAGCCTCGGACAACATTTTCGCTAAGGAAAAAATTGTTTCAAATCACCTCCCGAACCATCTCTATCAAGGTGTTACAACATTTTTGGGAAACCCTGTATATTTACATACACGAGAATACAGGGTGGTCCAGCTAAGTAAGACCACCTAAATATCTCCTCTAATTGTGGGGGTACAAAAAATATTCTGTATGCTATTTCCATTAAAATAGAGGAGATATTTCGGTGGCCTTACTTAGGTGGATCACCCTGTATAATTTAAATTTGCAATGTTAATAAACGATGTTAGCCGATAGGATGTCTTTTGAATTAATTACCTTTGTCTTAACAACGACACATCCAACGCGAACATAGCGTTTTATTTTGTTTTATTTTTATTTTGTACGCTCGTTATACGCCACTCGCAAGTATCTTGTTTAGCGAGAGTTCTCATCGTAATGTTAAAAAGATCGCGATTAAATGATTCGGATTAAATTTTGATGTACGTTTCTGTTTCGTAACTTCGTTAAATTCGCGACAACACTGCGTCTAGATGCGGGCATGATGGGATTATGTTTCGTGACTTAAACTTGTCAGATCCAGTGACGTAATATCCAGTAGGCTAATGAGATTTCTGTCTAGTGTCTCCAACGGGTCCCACGAATTATTGTTTTGAAAATTCATTGCTAGTACACGATACACTGTTCTATCCCAATACGTTCCTTTTTAAACGAAATTTTCAAGCACAGTTTTTAACTTGAAATGCATTAAATTTATTTAACACGCGACAATTCAGTACATTCTATTTCACTATCTATTATATCAAAATAAACAACGATCTGTTCGAGATTGAAAAAACGATCATCTCTCAATTTTCATATCTCCGAGGATTCCTTTCATTTTTATTTTCATTCTTTTCCCTAAATTCCTCCGAACTCCGAACCTTGCCCGATCCTTACCTTGACCTAAACTAAGCAACGACATGTTGTCAACAACTTACCTGAATCGACCTTCGTAAAAATGGCGACAACTTGTCCGAACTAACCCTCCAAAAAAAAAAAAAAACACGAATAACTGATACGACGAATAAGCTCGCAAATAGTTGTCAACAACTAACCCGAAGCATCTATTCATATCCGTTCTTCAATGTTGTTTATCGTTCCCACAGATTCCCGGTGTATAGTCATGTAATCTAATGTAAAGCACGAAACATCCCTTCTCGAAGTTTTCACGAGAGACGTTTGCTAACATTTCCTGGAAAATTACTCGAAGCAGATACTTCCTTGAGGTAGAGCTTTGGCACATTGCCTCATTAAATCCAGTTTAATGTTCCGGGAACCCAAGGAGCTGTTTCATGTGGTCTATCGAGTGTTTGTGTATCCTCGAACCCGACAATAAATTTCGCCTGTTTCACCCACACTGTAAATTCTTATCCATTGATCGTTGCTCTATAGTTTCGTTTGAACAAAATCTAGATCGTTTTCGTGTAACTATTATATCTCCAGTGTTGTCCAAACATCGTGTCCGTTACTTTGATCCCGTTGCTTATTAACTGATTGTGTTTCTCGGATTCGTTAAAAATTCTTTTGGAATTAAAAACACAACGGCAACGAATCAACGAATATTTTTGACGCGAGCTCTGCCTTTCGCAGAGTGGATCAGTGGATCAGCAGAGTGATTGGCACATTGTTTGTAAAAATGATTAAAAATATTCTATCGATGAAACATCACGTTATTCGAATAAATGATTCAAACAGTAGATAATAGATGATACATTCGATTTATAGCAATTTATTCGAGTTGGTTTCATTTGATTAGATAACGCGTTGTGAAATGTTTTGTTCTGTAATTTAAATTCTAGTTTTTGTTTAATAAGTGACTGACGGGTAGTTGTTTAATTTATATTCGTGCGACACACTCTTATCGTGGACGATCCGTTCTATCCAAACGATATACGCCACTTGTTGACATTTACAACAACGATACCAAAGGAATTAAGGATTAATCTTGACTGATAATAGCGAACGTCTTTTAGATGATCGTTGATATCGGTGTGTTAATTACTGATACGTAGCTTCGTATTCAAGTATTATGGGAGATGAGTATGTTCCAATAGTATGAATATCGTTTTGATACTTCGATCGAGGACAATAACTCGAATAAAATATTTCCAGAAATATTTAAAGGGTTTTCCAAACGGAAGTTTACGATTTTGTTTTTTGATCAAAATGGTATATAGAGTATATCTGATTTATATAACTTGGATAATATATTTACGTGTATTTATAGTTGCCAGGTTTATTTCGTTATTCGGAAACAAAATGCTAAAGTCCTTTTTCTGGAAGAATTTATTTTATATCGACATATTTATGGCATAGCAATTTAAACAAATCTCATTTATATTTCCCTCTGAAATTTTATTATAATTGGTAGTGTATTAGAGGTAGTATATTAGTTTATTAGAGGCTCCAAGTTGAAATAATGCGGTCATTAAACAAATGTACATCAGAAAATATGAAAAATACACGTGAAAATATCTACGTAATAATTTTCTTCGATTTTCATCGCGTATAAAAATATGAAAAAATTGTAACTTTCGGCCTGTGTTAAGGTTAGCGACGCATCGAAAATCGAAAAATCGAAAATCGAAAAATTTCAATCCGTTTGATATCGTCACTTAAACTTTCGATACTTCCACTTTGCGATTCTCGAAAGACTAACAAGTGATTGTTGCGGAGCAAATGGGATGGCCAATTGCCAGCTGATCGCTTGCCTGAGGATCGCGCAGTACTCGCGTTGGCGGGAAAAATAAAGGTCAATTTTCACGTGACACAGGGTCGTTACTTTTAATGTCCTGGCATTGAATGCCACGATTAAATAGCGATGGGCGCTTCTCGTATCTAGGTCTTGCGAGAGATTCGAAACTTTCGAACACGCGAACAGTCGAATCGCTTTAAATGTTATTTAAATCCAGACGATCTTGAAAGTTTGGATCGGCCTTAAACTCTTGATAGGTTTCGGAAACATCGAGGCGAGAACATTTTGCATAAATAAATGCCTTCGTAGTTTCCTGCAGCTTTCCATTGATTTTTGCTCTCGAAAGTGATTGTAACACCAATCATTTATCGACACTTTAGGGATTTGCGAGCGGTGCATTTATCGTTTACAAGTTTGTTGCGAACAAATACTTTATTAGGACTGAATGATTTATCGGTAACGAATTTTTCTTTGAATTTGTTACCAGGATATTTCGTTCATAACAAACTCATAAACGAGTTGCACGACACAAGTCTGTGAAATACTGGTTAGATATTAACGATGTTCGTTTCTTTCTTTTTTTTTTTTTTTCATATTACATCATTTCGTAGTACATCATTAATAACACTTTTACGAAAACAAAAATTCTAGCAGTAATTTATAAATGTACAAATGCAATTTATTATTTCTGCGAATTATTTAAGCCTCGAGTTTCGAAATCCAGTCAAAGTTTAAAATCGATCTGATCCTTGGGATTATATTAATTTCTATTAAATTGTTTCGTCGAATATATTCTGCATACGGTGGTTTCATAAATACCACACACCGCGAAATCTGCAGTTGACCGATAATTTATTTGAGCGGTTGGTGTAAATTCATACGAACAGCTAATTCGATAACAAAATTTATTCTATCAGGTCGCAGTCGCGCGGTTCAGGTGGAAGATCAGCATAATTTGCTCTGTGCCGAATAAGTATAAAATCCTCTTTCCAGCAGAAATGTTACGTATCGAGACCGTCGTATTTGGTCGGTCGTGGATCGGTCTCGTGTCATTTTTGCGTTGAATAATTCACGTGCTTGTTCAGCTTTCGCGAGATCTTTCTTCTTCCGGAGATGAACTTCCAGAGATATTTACGAC